CCGCGCGGCAAATCCCCCAGGGAGGCCGCCGCCAGAGACCTGGCGCTCCCGGCCCGGCGCCCGCCACGTGGCACCCGGCGGCGGCGGCGGCGGCTCCTCCCGGCGCGCGGCCCGGCCAGCCGGCAGCACGCAGCCGCCCGCGCCGCCCTCCTCTTCCCGGCCGCCCGCCGGCGGCCTCCCGGGCGCGGAGAGGGGGAGCTGCCCAGCCGCCCGGGACCCGGGGAAGGGGCGGGCCGCACGAAGCCGCCCTAACCGCAGCCGCCGAGCGGAGGCAGGAGGCTGACCCGGCCGCTTCCTCACTGCGGTCAGGCATCTCGTGACCGCGGCGGGCGCCGGGGGCCCCGCGGGAGAGGGCGGGCGGGCGGGGGCGAGGAACGAGCCAGGTGCCCCCCCGCCCCCACCCCGGGGCTGCGGCGAGGGAAGTCTGGGGCCAAGTTAAAGCCCCGAGCCCGAAAAGCAGGGTGGGGGAGGGCTGGAACCATGCCCCGCTCTCCACCCTAGGGCGTGCGCTCCCCGCCCGGAAGGGCTGACCTTGGCCGGGGGAGGGGCGGGGGAGGGTAAGCGCCGGGGCTGGGCTCTCCGCCCGCCGCCCCCTCGGATTCCTGGCCCGGCGGGGCCCGGGGAGGGGGCCCCGGACACACACACACCCCACACGCAGCGCGCGCCAATGAGCCCGGGCCAGGCGCAGGGGGCGGGGTTTTCCCAGGCTCGAGCACAGCAGCTGCTATTTACCTTCTTGGCTTCTCCCGGGGACCAGGAACCGGCCCCCGCTCCCGGCCGCCCGCCGCCGCCTCCCGCCTCCCTGCCCCCGGGGCGCGCGCACACACACTCACACACGCACGCACACACACATCCTCCCGGCCCGGCCGCAGCCGCGGCGGCAATAAAACATCCTGGCACGTGCTCCGGCTCCAGGCGCGCCCTCGCCGGCCGGCTGATGTCAAACTGCAGCTCGGCTGGTGCAGCTCTTAAAGGGCCCGCGAGGGGAGAGGCAGCCTCGCCGCCCGCCTGCCTCGAGGTGCCGCCGCGCCGAGGGCCCGCGGGCGGAAAGGGAGAGGGTGCGGAGGAGCGCGCGCGCGTCCCGGAGCGGCGTTGCCATCAAAGCGCCCCTTGTTCGTTTGTCATTGGCGATTCCATTTCCTTTCTACCCAGTTGGAAATTTTTCTGATTGTTTCCTGGGGCAGCGTGGGGGTCCAGGGCCCCCAACACCAACAGAAGGAAAGAGGGACGGGGTGGTGAAGGTGGGGGGCGTCCAAGAACCACCTTGCCCTGAGAAGCCTGCAAATGAGAAGTGCAAGGTAATTTTATTTTTCCTTCTGGTGCATGCAAAAAGGAATTTGGGGGTGGGTGGGGTTATTTTTCTGCATTATCTACTTTTCACTCTCCTCAGTATACAGAAGCTCGGAGGGAAATCACTTAGATGTTTGGGTAATTCACACCCTTGCACGCTTATGCCGCTTTTAATCACTGATCATGTCTCTCTTTTTTTCTTTGGTCTATACCTTTCTGAAAATATATTTCCAATGAACTTCTTATTACAGTCAAAGCAGTTCTGTGACACATAGAAAAGAGAACAAAGAGCAAAGACATTGGCCCCTTAAAGAAAGAAACTAGTCTAAAACTAATGCGGAAAAATCCTCTCGAAAGCAAAGCCCAGAGGGGAGAGTAGCAAAGGGTTAAAATTCCTTTGATTGACGTTGTAGCCTCCGGTGCCCTGGGCTCAGGCGCGCGCCATTGGCCGCCAGACCTTGTGCCTGGCGGCCAATGGGGGGGCGCGGTCCACGAGCGGTGCCGCGTGTCTCCTCCTCCCATTGGCTGAAAGTTACTGTGGGAAAGAAAGTTTGGGAAGTTTCACACGAGCCGTTCGCGTGCAGTCCCAGATATATATAGAGGCCGCCAGGGCCTGGGGATCACACAGGATCCGGAGCTGGTGCTGATAACAGCGGAATCCCCCGTCTACCTCTCTCCTTGGTCCTGGAATAGCGCTACCGATCACCCAGTAGCTGCAAAATAGAATAATAAACCCTCGGCACTTGCTCAGTAGTTTTGTGAAAGTCTCAAGAAAAAAGGGACATTAAAATATTATTTTTGGGCGAAGGTCTCCAAAAATAAAAATTCTCTAGGGATTAAAAAAAAAGGAAGGAAAATGCCAGCTGATATAATGGAGAAAAATTCCTCGTCCCCGGTGGCTGCTACCCCAGCCAGTGTCAACACGACACCGGATAAACCAAAGACAGCCTCTGAGCACAGGAAGGTAAGCGCAGTGCCTGTATCTCTAGCCCCAGGAACCAGGTCGGGGGTGGGGGCTCCTTTCCCTCCGGAAACCCCGGGGTGAAGCGGCAGATCCCAGGGGAACTCAGAGTTCTGTCTGATTTCTTTGCAGTCTTCAAAGCCAATCATGGAGAAAAGACGAAGAGCGAGAATAAATGAAAGCCTGAGCCAGCTGAAAACTCTGATTTTGGATGCTCTTAAGAAAGATGTAAGTGGGGGAGAATCCTGCTGCTTTTATTATTATTATTATTATTATTATTTATTAAGAAGTGCGAAGTACTGTTTCGGAGCCTCCGGGAATGAAATCCCCCTTGCCTGCGAGGCGAGGATCGTAGCCTAGCCCGGCAATGCTGCTTTCTCGCCGGGGTCCACGGCCGGGGAGGCGGGGGGCGGGAGGGCCCCAGCGATCCGAGGCAGCTGACGGGGGGCGGCGGGGGTCTCACTGCCCTGCCTTGCCCTCTGTTGTGCAGAGCTCGCGGCATTCCAAGCTGGAGAAGGCCGATATCCTGGAGATGACCGTGAAGCACCTCCGGAACCTGCAGCGCGCGCAGATGACCGGTGAGGGCGCGGTGAGGGCGGCTCGCGCGTCCCCCTCGGCGGGCGGCCCTCGCACCCGGCGGTGATTCCTTCCAGACTTCCGCCCGCGGTTGTGAGCGGCATTGAGCTACATTTTACTGCCTTGGCTCACGCTCGCGTTCCCACGGTCTGGGTCTTATTTATAGCCGCAACTCCAAGTTGTTACTGTTCCGGAAAGGGAGGGAGAGAGGTGGTAGCCGCGAGGGTGGCGGGCGGCTTGGCTGCGGGGGAAGCGGGCTGGGGCGAAAGGACTGGGAGCCGTGGCGGTTTGGAGCTGTGTGCAGCCTGGGGGTGGAGTGGGGGGGGGGGGGTCATCTGGTTTAGCGCACTGCTCTCCTCCCCCGCTCCAGAAGGGGAAACCGGCGCGGTTGGTGGATTGAGGGTGGGGGCCGAGTCCCAAGGTCACAGCGCGCGCGGGGCTGGGCCTGAGAGCAGTTTAAATGGAGCGACAGGGAATGGGAAGGCGGTGTCTCGGCTCGGATTGCCACGCTGGTGTGGCGGTGGCGGTGGTGGTGGCGGCTGGTTCCCCTAGAGCCAACCCCCTCCGCCCCTCCCCGCGCCCCAGCCGCAGGCGGTCCGGCGGGCGCGTGGTCGGGGAGGCGCGCCGCAGGGACCTCCCAGGGCGGGAGGCAATGGCCCCGGGGCCAGGGCCGTTCGGTGACCCGTCTGCCTCCTTCTGGCCTACAGCCGCGCTGAGCACAGATCCGAGCGTACTGGGGAAATACCGCGCCGGCTTCAGCGAGTGCATGAACGAGGTGACCCGCTTCCTGTCCACGTGCGAGGGCGTTAACACCGAGGTGCGCACCCGGTTGCTCGGCCACCTGGCCAACTGCATGACCCAGATCAACGCCATGACCTATCCCGGGCAGCCGCACCCCGCCTTGCAGGCGCCGCCGCCGCCCCCGCCTGGCCCCGGCGGCCCCCAGCACGCGCCGTTCGCGCCGCCGCCGCTCGTGCCCATCCCCGGGGGCGCGGCGCCCCCTCCCGGCGGCGCCCCCTGCAAGCTGGGCAGCCAGGCTGGAGAGGCGGCTAAGGTGTTCGGCGGCTTCCAGGTGGTGCCTGCTCCCGACGGCCAGTTTGCCTTCCTCATCCCCAACGGGGCCTTCGCACACAGCGGCCCGGTCATCCCCGTGTACACCAGCAACAACGGGACCTCGGTAGGTCCCAACGCCGTGTCCCCTTCCAGCGGGCCCTCGCTCACGGCCGACTCCATGTGGAGGCCGTGGCGGAACTGAGGGGTTCTGGACACCTCTCCACCCAGACTGCCCTACCCGCTTCTCCACCCTCCGGACATTAAACAGGAACTTGGATACTGGGAGTGAAGAGAACTTTTCTGTGATTGATTTCAGTGGTTACCTTGTTGGTTTTTTTTTAATTTCTAAAAGTTACTTTTTTGTAGAAGAGCTGTATTAAGTGACTGACCATGCACTATATTTGTATATATTTTATATGTTCATATTGGATTGCGCCTTTGTATTATAAAAGTAAAGATGACATTTCGTTTTTTACACGAGATTTCTTTTTTATGTGATGCCAAAGATGTTTGAAACTGCTCTTAAAATATCTTCCTTTGGGGAAGTTTGAGAAAATATAATAAAAGAAAAAGAGTGAAGGTGTTTATGTGTGGGGACTGATTATTTCAGAATATGTAAAAAGGCTCACGGAATTTGAGTTACATGTAATCTGGGAATTCAGGAATTGGCTCTATTGTTATTAAAAGAACAGCATTTTTAAAAATCCACCCAGCCTTTTCACCCACACCACATCAACTACAAAGACCAAATCCCACTTAATTTACAAGCTCTCCTTTGATTCGGCTTCCTTAATAAATTTGGGTGCGAACCTCCTGCAAGATTTCGGAGGTTTCAGAGTTGGCAGTAGGCTGAGCCATACAGCCCTCATCCTGTGAGCTCCTGAGAAGGTTGGACAGGACTGCATTTTCAGGACTGTCATGGAGGCAATGCTGAACTGGCCGCAGCCCCTGGGAGGTCGGCCCCTGCCTTGTCCTGGGAGCAGCTCGCCCACACCCACAGGGCAGCCCTCCTCCTGGAGCCGCCTGCCTTCCAGTGCTGGGGGTCTCCCCTAATCAGCCTGTCCCGAGGTGCAGCCAGACATGCCCTAGCTCCAGCACGCACACGCGTCCAATGCTGCTCTGCCCCCTCTTCAAGCAAGCTGGAAAGGTCAACAGATTCCTTCTGCCAAGGGACAGCTAGTTAGACTCCCAAGTGGAACCCCAGCCCAGATGATTAACGCCACACATGTGTTTCTGATAAGTCTGTGCTGGGCTCTAATAGAGAAAGCATGTGGGGGCTGTGCTGGCAGGCGCACAGGCCATCTTCCCCTTTTAATACAAACAGCAAGCGACCCCTGCGCTTGGTCATGCCCCATTTCCAGGCAAGATGTGGGCTCCAGATAGAAGCAAAAGGGCTGTCTCGGGTTTCAGCTCACATAACCCTCCTTAACAAGTCCTAACTCAAAGCGGACAGCTTTAAACTGTGCCAGGATCTGCAGGGAATTTCTTCCAAATCCCATCACAAAGGCTTGTCAGATTTTGTCAGATTTGGCCAGGTGTTTGACTGCATCCAGGTGTTGGGGAAATGAGAACCACGAGTCCTGCGAGACCAGACACATCAGCCTGCGCTGCGGCTCTGGCGGGCGCGCCCTCCTCCCCCACCCGCCGGCCTCTCTCACCTCCCCCCCAACCCCCTCCGCCCCCTTCTCGGAGAGCGGCTTCTGGGAGGAGGATGAGGCGGGAGAGATCAATCTTTGAAGCTTCCCTAACAAAGATAAAGCCAACGATTTTCTGTCTTGTTTCAAAAGCTTTCCCCTCTCCTCCGCCCGGCGCTGGCCTTTCCCACAGGCCGGCGCGCAGAACAAGCGTCGGGCGGCTCTGTCGCAGGAACCATCGGGCACACAGCGGCAGTCCGCTCCCCCCTGCCCCCAGACACCTTGGGCCCCAGCTTGGGCCCTAGAGGGAGAGGTCTGAAAGCCACTTTTTTTTGCAGTTGGCTGCCACTCGCCTGATTTTGTGTACATGAAAGGTGTCCAACACTCCCTCCGCCAAACACACACACACACACACCCTTCTTTATCATATCACTTTTCCACCTTTTCCCTCTCATTTAAACACAAACATCATAACAATCGCTCCATTCAGGGACCCATCCCAAACCCAAATGCTCCGTGGACGCCTGTCCTCTGGGTGTTCTGTCCTGATAGAAAAAATAGATGGCATGGTCTCATTTTTGCACAACTCCTTCACAGTGATGTCCTTTAAAATTCACAGGAAAAAGAAGAAAAACCCTGTGCCATCTCGATATCGACTCAGTTAACTTTGTCTTTCCTTATGCGAAGGGCAGCCACTGAAAAAGTGCATTTGCATCGATACCCCAAAAAGCACACCCAGTATCTGCCTGGGAAGGGCTAATAAATGCAAGGAAAATAAGTCAGCATTGGTTCTTTCGAAAATAAACAGGGGGTTGAAAACCTCTTCTTTCCCCCCTGCAATTTGGGCAGGGCCCAGTAGACACAGCCTCTATTTCTCTGTGGAACGGGAAGGAGGGTGGAGTCGGATCTTCTGGTTCTGCCCCGGCTGTGCCACTAAAGTCACCTTGTGTCACCTTGGATAAGTCATTTCCCCATCCCTGGGCCGTTTCCATTCCATACAAGGGCTGGATCTGTTTCTGAGACCGTACCTCCTGCCCCCTGGCTGGCTGGCCTAGGGAGCTGGGGAAGAGGCCAAGCTTCAGAGGAGACATCCATCGTGTCTCCCAGGAGGTCCCTCGGGCCTGGTCTAATTATACAGCCTCTGGGCACACCCGGCAGCCCCTCTCCCCGGCCCCCAGCAGTGCTGATCTCTCGGAGAGATAAGGCAGAGCTCCAAGCTCCGGGTCCGGATGCAGCCCGCGGGCCTCGGAGGCCGCGCGCCTCAGCCCCTCGTCGGAGACCCCCCCTCGCGCCCGCTCCCCCACCCCCCAGGCTCCCTGTCGTCTCAGGCAGCATCCGGAGCGGGAAAGACGCCCAACTGGGGGGCTGGGGCAGAGCTCTGTGCGGTCCAGACTCGAGCCTTCTGCAAACTGTGCACAGGCGCGACTCAGAGAGGCTTGGCCCCCACCCCACCCCACGTGTTTGTGGACCGGGGAGCGACCCAGAGGTTTCACTGGACCTCCTCATCGTCACCACCGTCCCGGGAAACCTGTCATTAAAGTCAGTTAACTTTTCCCACACCCCGTGGCCGGTAACAGCCCGCTGCTAGCTTCCTCCCGGGCTCCTAAGTGCTACCAGATGGGCGGCCGAGCTGCCCCCGCCGCGCGCCCGCCGGGGCGGCTCGGGGGCTCCGGGGAGGCCGCCGGGGCCCGCGGCCAGGGTTGGGAGCGGGCCGGGGCGGCCACGCCGGGCCGGCCCCGGCGGCCCCGCGGCCAAGGTGGCTTGCTTAGCAGGCCCGGCTGCTTTCTGGCAGGAAATGAATAGCTCCCAGATGAGCTCAGGCAACCTGAGAGGTCGTGAGAACGGCGCGAACCCCCGCCTGTGCAGCCGGCAGCCTGCCAGGCCGCGGGGGGAGCGGGCGCGGCGGCGGCGGGAGGCCTGGAGGCCCGGCGGGCGGGCGGGCGGGCGCGCGGGCGGCGGCGGGCGCGGGGGAGGGAGCGGCTGACACACGAGCCCGCGCCCGCGCCCGCTGACAGGCAGGCCGCCGCCCGCGCTTCCCCGCCCCGGGCCCCAGCGCCTCCCAAGCAGCAGGCCCAAGCCGCAGAAACGCGGCCGCCCGGCCCCGCCGAGCCCGGGGGTGGGGCCGCCTGCCAGTGTTTTTCCAGTTCCCCCGGTAGCTCCGGGCCGCATTTAGAAGCCGGGGAAACTGGGCCGGGGCCAGTGGCAGGGCACCGGAGGCCCTGGCGGCGCGCTGAGCACTGCCGGGCGCGGGGCCAGGCCGGGGCAGCGGTGGGCAGGCAGGGGCGGGCCCGCAAAGTCGCACTCGAAACAAGGACCTGGGGGTCCCCGAAGCCCGCAGGCAGCTCGCATCTGAGGATCCTGAGCGCCTACTAAGTGCGCGGCAAGGCCGCAGCAGGTGCGAGGGAGCCCGCGCTGATTGCGACACCGCCTCTTGCGCACAGAGCTCCCTGTGAAGCCAGGAAGATAGACAAACACACAAATGTGACTCATCCCTGGCTGCGTGTGCTGAGTGCCAAGACCCAAGTTTAAACAAAGGGCACCAGCACAGAGATGAGTTCTGATTTGAGAGGGAATCAGGGGCGTTTTTCAGGGAGGGGGCCTTAAAACCAGGGGTCACAGATGGGTTCAATAAGAAGTGGGAATAAGTCGGTGAGGGATCTCGCAGGGCCGATAAATTTGGATGGAGGTTCCAGCTTGGGGGAAACCCCAAGAATCCCACCCTGGTGGCTGGGTTTAAATTTTTCAAATACCCTGCAACTGGCTTGCAGGTTGGGCTGCCACCTGCTCTGGTCCTGGGCTTGCTGTGGTGTAGCCAGAGGTTTGATCTGGATTCAGGTGGCTGGGTGTTGCAGCCCAAGACCACTTCCTTAACTTTTCTGTGACTCTGTTTTGTGACCCTGCCTGTCTTATTTGCAACTGCAGGCTCGCTGAGAGGCAGGGTGTGGGACTGCTTTGCAGGCACTTGCCGTGAGGTGGCAGCTGCGGGGACCCCTACCCAGCCACAGGAGGGGGTTGTCCACCAGGCCAAAGAGCCACCCCTGGCCTCGGCCGCACGTGAAAGGACCAGGACTTCTTCCAGTGGCTTCTGAATGTCTCGGGTTCATTTGACACCTCCAAAAGCAGACAGCATGGGAATAAAGGAAAAAGAGAGGCGTGACCTCTGTCGTTCTGAGGCTCCCTATGTGCTGAGCAAGGCAAGGTATGCAAGACAAAATGACGCTGTGTGGCGTGCCATGGAAGAGGAGGAGCACACGGTGGTGTGGCAAACAAAGGTTGTGTGTCCCCCCAAGTCATGATCAATTGCTGTGATCAGAGAAATTGCTGACATGGTGAGCAACCAGCATTTCATCTGAGACGTTATTGTCTAGTGCGTAGTTTCGAGATGAGTCATTTGGCCATACGAACAGCTTCTAAAAGAACACAGTCACCTCCAGGTGGTCAATGAACTGGACTGGGAGCCCGGAAATCGGGATTCTGGTTTCACTAGTCTCTGGGGCTTCAGCTGCCTCACCAGCAGGAGCGACAGGCGCAGGAGCAGGGAGTCTCTGAAGCCCTTCCAAGCCCGCAGCCTGTGAGTCCCTGTCCTTGGCCGGCTTCTCTGGGCCTTCACAGTTTGTCATGTGCCCTGTAAGACTTCAGAACGTTCTTTATTTCTTTTAAGATGTATTTATTTATTTGAAAGGCAGAGTTACACAGAGAAAGAAGGAGAGGCAGAGAGAGAGAGAGCAAGGTCTTCCATCTGCTGGTTCCCTCCTCAAATGGCCACAACAGCCAGAGCTGGGATGATCTGAAGCCAGGAACCAGGAACCTCTGGGTCTCCCACATGGGTACAGGGGCCCAAGCACTTGGGCCATCTTCTGCTGCTTTCCCAGGTGCATTAGCAGGGAGCTGGACTCGAAATGGAGCAGCCAGAACTCAAAAAGGTGCCCATATGGAATGCTGGCCTTTA